TAAATAAAAAGCTATTAGCAATAGGTAAAAGTACCCACTGTTTTTTCCTTTTCATGCCCACTGTGTTGGTTCAGGCCTCAACCTCTTTCACCTATATCTTTTATTTATTTATTTATTTTTTTGAGACGGAGTCTTGCTCTGTCGCCCAGGCTGGAGTGCAGTGGTGCGATCTTAGCACACTGCAACCTCTGCCTCCCGGGTTCAAGTGATTCTCCTGCCTCAGCCTCACAAGTAGCTAGGATTACAGGTGCGTGCCACCACACCCAGCTAATTTTTTGTATTTTTAGTAGAGACGGGGTTTCACCGTGTTAGCCAGGATGGTCTCAATCTCCTGACCTCGTGATCCGCCTGCCTCGGCCTCCCAAAGTGCTGGGATTACAGGCGTGAGCCACTGCATCCGGCCCTCACCTGTATCTCTGTAATAGCCACTTACTACTCTCCCTGTTCCAAGTTAGTTCCTCTCTCTTCCACTCATCTTTCATGTTGCCATCAAGGATAGCACAGATCAGATATGTCTCTCCTTTCTTCTTAAACTTAGTAGTGTCCCAGGCTCACAGAATAAAGTTCAGACTCTTCTGTTTAGCATTCAAAGTGTTCCACCATTTGGTCTCAAACTGCCTTTTCTACTACATGTATTTCATTTGCATAGGGACCGTATTTCTCTCCAACTAACCCTTCTCCCAGAAAAAAAGGGTATTTTTTTGTTTCAACATCTGTTCACATTAGTTTTTTGTGTTTTTGTTTTTAGTTTGAAGTACCCATTCTCTCCACTTGCAATTGAAATTGGATTTAACTTTTAAGGTCCATTCCAAGTGTTGCCTTTCTCCCTCCATTCTTTGGCCCCATCCCACCAGTCCTGGGAATGAATCACTCCTTTTTGGTTCCCATAGTATATTTCTCATGCCATTGTTTGCAACTCATATTCTAGTTACTGATGGACGGAACTAGTAACAGTAACTAGTAATTGACTAGTAACTAACTTGTCAGTCTCCTTACATTCTGTTTTAAGACTTCCTTGTATCCATCTTTCTTTCCAATTGCAGCAGTCTTCCTCATATTGTGCCTTTCCTCGCTCCTGTGTGCTCTTAACTCTGGTGGTTTTGTGATCTTGGTGGAACATGTCCAGTTGTCTCGTACATGTTAAGAAGAGGAAGAAAAGAAGCAATTGACAGGAATTGATGGAATCTACTTACTATTAGTACAAATGTCTTTCAGTTTGCTTTTTCTTTATCCTATGTTTATATACTTATTGTTTTGAAACTTTTTTTTTTTTTTGAGACAGAGTCTCATTCTGTCACCCAGGCTGGAGTGCAGTGGCGTGATCTCGGCTCACTGCAACCTCCGCCTCCCGGGCTCATGCCATTCTCCTGCCTCAGCCTCCCGAGCAGCTGGGACTACAGGCGCCCGCCACTACGCCCAGCTAATTTTTTTGTATTTTTAGTGGAGACGGGGTTTCACCATGTTTGCTAGGATGGTCTCGATCTCCTGACCTTGTGATCCGCTTGCCTCGGCCTCTCAAAGTGCTGGGATTACAGGCGTGAGCCACCGTGCCCAGCCTATTGTTTTCTTTATCCTATGTTTATATATTTATTGTTTTGAAATTTTAAAGATTATTTTGTCTTCATTGTGTAAGTGTGTGAAATATCTAGAGGCCTGGGAGGTCAATAAACTTGTCTAGGGACTCACAAAGGGTTAGTGGTAGAGCCAAGGTTTAAACTCAAAACCCCTTCAAGAATGGCTTTTATAGTCATATATAGAGAACATGACTTTATTTTGGGGTGATATTTCTTGAATGCTTTTGGTAGCACCAATTAGTAAAAAAAAAAAAAAAAAAAAAAAAAAGGTCCACGTTGGGCTACTTCTTTTTATTTTTGTTCTGTAGCACAAATCATCAAGCAACCGCTGGGCTACTTTTTTTTTTTTTGAGACAGGGTCTTGCTCTGTCTCCCAAGCTGGAGTGCAGTGGTGCAGTCTTGGCTCACTGCAACCTCCGCCTCCCAGGTTAGAGTGATTCTCCCACCTCTCAAATGCTTTGAATGCTAATCAGAAGAGTCTGAACTTTATTCTGCAAGCCATGGAACAATACTAAAAGTTTTAGAAGAAAGGAGAGACATGATCTGATCTGTGCTATCCCTGATGGCAACATGAAAGGTGAGTGGAGGAGAGGGGAACTAACTGGGGACAGGGAGACTAAGAAGTGGCTATTACAAAGATGCAGGTGAGGGCCCGGCATGGTGGCTGACACCTGTAATCCCGGCACTTTGGGAGGCCGAGGCAGGTGGATGATGAAGTCAGGAGATCGAGACCGTCCTGGCCTAACATGGTGAAACCAGTCTCTACTGAAAATACAAATTAAGTGATTCTCCCATTCCTCTCAGTCTCCTGAGTAGATGGGACTAAAGGCACAGGCCACCATGCTTGGCTAATTTTTGTATTTTTAGTAGAGATGGCATTTCACCATGTTGTTCAGGCTGGTCTTGAACTCTTGACTTCAAGTGATCTGGCCGCCTTGGCCTCCCAAAGTGTTGGGATTACAGGCATGAACCACTGCACCTGGCCACTGGGCTACTTCTTATGCAGGCTGATATAGCACTTGGGGTGGTAGTCTCTGTGGCATTTTTTGTTTGTTTTTTATTCTTTGGGACAGGGTCTTGCTCTGTCACTCAGACTGGAGTGTGGTGGCACAATCATGGCTCACTGTAGTTTCGACCTCCCAAGTTCCAGTGATCCTCCTTCCTCAGAATCCTGCATAGCTGGGACTACAGGTGTGCACCACCATGCCCAGCTACTTTTTAAATTTTTTGTAGAGATCTGGTCTCTCCGTGTTGCCCAGGCTGGAACTCCTGAACTCAAGGGATCCTCCTGCCTTGGCCTCCTAAAGTACTGGAATTACAGGTGTGAGCCACTGTGCCTGGGCTAACTCTTTTCTTATTGAAAGAATAGGTGGCTTTGTTTAGTCAGATCCACAAATGGAGACACTTGCAATACTTGACCAGAAAGCAAACCAACAATCATTTGCCCTGATTCTTCTTCCCCATCTTGTTTCCCAGAAGCAACCACTTGTAACTCTCTTAGCTATTTCTTTTGGTATTTCCCTTCACATTTCTATATTGATATGTCTAGACATTTTTGACTTTGTTACAGTAGCTGAGGTCCTAGCTTCCTTATACTACTTCCTCTCACTATATTTATAATTTTTTTTTCCAAGACAGGGTCTTGCTCTGTTGCCCAGGCTGGAATACAGTGGCATGATCACTGCTCACTGCAACCTCCACCTCCCAGGCTCAACCAATCCTCCCACCTCAGCCTCCTGAGTAGTTAGGACTACAGGCACATGACATCATGCCCAGCTAATTTGTGTATTTTTGTAGAGATGGAGTTTTGCCATGTTGTCCAGGCTGGTCTTGAACTTCTGGGCTCAAGCAGTCATCCGCCTTGGCCTCCCCAAGTGCTGGGATTACAGGTGTGAGCCACTGCACCTGTCCTATTTATAATTTTTATTAAATTAACATTTGATATCTATATTATTATGACTATAAATACTGTTTATTTTGAGCCAAGTCATAGATTATGATATTTTCTATTTTTGTACAATAAAAATAATTTCTCATAGTTAAAAATTACCAAACTTTTGATTTGCCTAGTTATTTGTGTACCTATTACCAATTCATTCATTTGCCAAATATTTACTGAGTGCCTACTATAAGCCAGGCATCATTCTTGGTGTTTGGGATATCTCAGTAAACAAATTAGACAAAGATTCTTTGCCTTGTGACACATTCTAATTGGGAGATAGACAATAACCATAAGTAAAATATAAAGTATGTTAGAAAGAGGTGCTGAGGGAAAAAAAGCAGGGCTGCTGAGGAGCATGATGCCCTTGATTCATGATTCTTTATATGTGACCTGGTTTTTCTCTCTGAAAACTTGTAGAATTTTCACTTCATTTGGATGTTCTGCAATTTAACAGTGATGGGCCAGGCCCTGGTGTAGATGTTAGTTTTAATTTTTCGTGCTTGACATTTTGTGAGCCCTCGTATTCTTCAGTTCTGATCTTACTGCTTTGTTGGGTGACTGAAGTAATGATCAATCTGATGCAACTCAAGGAGAAGAGCTTTGGTTGTTCATGTTGGTTATCCCATAGTATATAAAGCACTTCAATGAGTTTCTTTGATGCAAGTATTATTATTACTTTATTTTAAAAAATTATTGATGTAAAAATTACTGATGTCAAAGAATATTTTAATTTATTTCCTATTTCCAGCTGCTGGAACTTGGTATGATGAAAGGTCTTGTTTGTTATTCCTTTTTCATTCATTTCACTTCGAAGGTTTGGCAGGTTACATGTCTCCCTGGTGCTCTTGTAGACAGGGAGCCTCTGGGAGTCACTTTCAGGTCCTGGCTGCTCTTTCACCTTTCTTAGTCTTTTCATATCTTTTGTCTTACCAGTATGTGTATTTTTAATTGAGATAAAATTCACATAACGTAAAATTCACCATTTTAACCATTTTAAAGTATACAATTCAGTGTTTTTTTTTAAAGTATATTTATAATGTTTATGATGTTACCACTATCTAATTCCAGAACATTTTCATCATCCCCAAAGAGAAATTTGATACCTAATAAGCAGTTAACTCCCATTCTCCCTCTCCTTTCAGCTCCTGGCAACCAATATTCTGCTTTCTGATTCTATGGTCTTGCCTATTTTGGACATGCCACGTAAATAGTATCACATCATACATGGCCTTTAGTGTCTGGCTTCTTTCACTTATCATAAAGTTTTCAAGGTTCATACATGTTGTGCATATATTAATACTATAAAATGTTTTAAAATCAGACTCTGAATATTTGATTTTTCAGTATCCAAGAAAAATTCTGCATTTATTATCTTTATTTTGATTTTAATACTGGCCTGTAATTTACCTTTTCACAAAACATCTATTGGATATAAAATGATATTGGATAATTTTTCAGTATACGTTATTTATTTGTTTTTTTAGTATGCCAGTACTGAGGTTGATGGAGAGCATTACATGACTCCAGAAGACTTTGTTCAGCGCTATCTTGGACTGTATAATGATCCAAATAGTAACCCAAAGATCGTGCAGCTCTTGGCAGGAGTAGCTGATCAAACCAAGGATGGGTAAGTATCTTCATGCATTTTCTGAAAACTAATGTTCTGGAATATATTGTTAAAAATTTAAAAAACTGGCTGGGTGTGGTGGCTCACGCCTGTAATCCCAGCACTTTAGGAGGCCGAGGCAGGCGGATCACCTGAGGTTGGGAGTTGGAGACCAGCCTGACCAACATGGAGAAACCCTGTCTCTACTAAAATACAAAATTAGCCGGGCATGGTGGCCCATGCCTGTGATCCCAACTACTCAGGAGGCTGAGGGAGGAGAATTGCTTGAACCTGGGGGGTGGAGATTGTGGTGAGCTGAGATTGAGCTATTACACTTCAGCCTGGGCGACAAGAGCAAAACTCCATCTCAAAAATAAAAAAAAATAAAAATTAAAAAAACCCACAGGCTTACCTATGAGTATCTAGAATTTTAATATTAGTAAACATGTAATTAGTAATTATCAATTTTCTCTTTAGTAATTAGAAAATATGTATTTAAAATAAATATATTATTATTATACTTTTGGGATACAGAAATCATTACGAAAAATGTATTCAAAAAAATTTATTTGGAAAAATAATGGGAAGCTTTATGTTGAAAACAATTAAGATACCAGGCAAGTAAGTATTCTACTTTATAGGTCAAATTCTGAGCCAATAATTTTTAAACCACACTAACTGGAGATCTATGTTTTGTTTTGTTTTGGTCTCTCTCTCTCTGTCACCCAGTCTGGAGTACAGTGGCATGATCTCAGCTCACTGCAACCTCCACCTCCTGGGTTCAAGTGATTCTCCTGCCTCAGACCTCAAGTAGCTGGGATTACAGGCATGCACCACCATACCTGGCTGATTTTTGTATTTTTAGGAGAGACAGAGTTTCACCATGTTGGCCAGGCTGATCTCAAACTCCTGACCTCAAGTGATCTGCCTGCCCTGGCCTCCCAAACTGCTGGGATTAGAGGTGTGAGCTACCATGCCCAGCCTTTAAAAAATGATATATACTAGTTGTATAATTAAACTATATATTTTATTCAAAGTTTATAAAAATGGTGTTATTTACTGTGATTATCAAGGATACAGGCATTTCTTTTTTTCGAAAAAATATTTCATGGGAAAAGCCACATTTTATGTTGAATAATCTGAGCAGAATGAGTTCCAAATAACCAAGTATATTTCTTTCATTCATTCAATAGGTATTGAGTGCCTACTATGCCTCAGGTACTGTTCTTCGTGCTGGGATTATTAATATATCAGTGAAAAAGCCACAAAACGATAATAAGTGAATTATGGTTTGTTAGAAGGCTATAAGTACTATGATGAAAAATAAATTAGGGGAGAGTTTAGGGAGTGATATTTAGTCATTTATCTCTCTGTTTATTTGGTAAACATTAATTGAATAGCCATTGTTTGTCAGGCACTGTTGGGCCTTACAAATACAAACATAAATTAAATGAGGCTTCTGGCCTTCAAAAGAAGCTACTAGCTTAGTGAGAAAGAAAATGACTAAACAAATGAGGTGCTGTCATAGCTATATAAGAGGTACAGAGGTAACCCAAGAAAGCATGGTTACCTGTTTTGTGTGGTCAGGACAGCATCACAGAAGAGGTGATACTTGAGTGAAATCTAGCAGGATGAGTACAAGCTTGTTAGTAGTTGGATAAGTAGGGACAAGAATTCCAGGAAAGGGAACAGGAATGGCATGAAATATTAAGGGGCACGTGTGTGTGCGCACGCGTGTGTGCACATTAGTGAATGGCAATGGAGGAGGGTTGTGTTGCAAGTACTTTGATGTGGCTGTGGCGTGGCATTGCTTTGTTGCTGGGGGAAATGTAGTTGGAGTGGCTGAAGGCTTTTGACTCTGTCCTGCAGGTATTTTTGGCCTGCTAGTGTATGGGTGTGCAAAAACACAGAAATAACAAGGGGCATCTTGCTAGAATGTCAGTTTACTCAACTAAGGGGAGAAAAGCGATCATTATTTATATTAAAATCATATATGGCTGTATTATGGAGTGAATGTAATATTTGCATGAATTAGATAAAGAAAATTTTGGCTTGTTATGGCAGTTTCAATCTACATCTCCAGGCCTCCAGGGCCTAGGCTCTTTCTCCTTCCTGTTGAGGTGCTTATGTGACAACCTTTGAGAAACTAGGCAGTAAGTAGTCTAAAAATTATTTCCATTGCCACAGATGTAAACAGATTTTAGAAATGGTAGGTTGGAATGTGACAAGACTCATATGCAGTAGAATCAATTTAGGTGGCTATTGTAATAGTTAAAGTAGAAAGATTAGTGTCTAAGTTCTTTGAGTCCAGGATTAGTAATGTATTCAGTTTTATTGTCCCATAGAACCTTGCACAGTGTGTGAAATTTACTATGTGTTTAACACATGTTTGTTTTGGAAAGATTTTATATCATTTATAAATGGCAGGTATTGGGGAACTTGTATACATTTTAGTTCTACTCAAAATATATCAGCTGATAAATCACTGTGGATCATTCAATCATAGGATCTTTCAACAGTGATTAGACAATAAAGCATATGAAAATTAATTATACCTACCAGAATTCCTTCTTCAAAATTATTAAAGGTAACATATACATTTAGCTCTTTTAGAAATTATCAGAGTATTTATTGTTAGTAATTTGGTCTAAGACCTGATTTCAGAATATCCATATATTTTCAAATGTTTCCTTTTGTGACTGTCTGCTCTATTCTGTCTCAGTAGTGTATCTTCTTTGAGGCTTCATATGGTTCTCCTAGGCTGAGTTGCATTGTTAAAGTAGGACATTTTCTTTTCTTTTCTCTCTTTTTTGTTGGAGACAGAGTCTCACTTTGACACCCGGGCTGGAGTGCAGTGGTGTGATCTCAGCTCACTGCAACCTCTGCCTTCTGGGTTCAAGTGATTCTCCTGCCTCAGCCTCCCAAGTAGCTGGGATTATAGGTGCATGCCCCCATGCCCGGCTAATTTTTGTATTTTTAGTAGAGATGAGGTTTTACCATTTGGCCAGGCTTGTCGTCTTGAACTACTGACCTTGTGATCCGTCTGCCTCGACCTCCCAAAGAGCTGGGATTACAGGCATGAGCCACTGCACCCAGCCCATTTTTCTTCTTATAATCATCTTTTTAAAAAGATATTCTCTGCTGAGCGCATTTGCTCACACCTGTAATCTCAGCACTTTGGGAGGCTGAGGTGGGAGGATCGCTTGACGCCAGGAGTTTGAGACCAGCTTGGACAACATGGTGAAACCCCATCTCTACAAAATTAAAGAAAAAAATTAGCCAAGTATGGTGGCGTGTGCCTGTAGCCTTAGCTACTTGGGAGAATGAGGCAGGAGGATTGATTGAGCCCAAGTGTTTGTGGCTGCTGTGAGCTATAACTGAGCCACTGCACTCCAGTCTGAGGGACAAAATGTGAGACTCTGTCTTAACAAAAAAGAAAAAAGATATTCTCTTTTCTCCCTCTTTCTGTTTTGTACCCCTTAACCCAGGGCCGTGATGAAATATTAGAATAGCTTACTTGGTACATTGTTTCCTGCCCCAAAATGTGTTCCTTGGTTCTATGGTAGTTTTTTGATGATGAGTCCTATAGATATGTTATGTGAAATGGCAACATATAATATTGCTTATAACCACTCAAGACCAAGTCTGAATGAGTGGAACTAGTATAGATAAGTTCAAGTGATTTGGTTGAGTGTGTGAGAAAAGCTGGTCTAGGAGTGGTTGAAACATGCTCTTTTGTGCTCTGCAATCCTTCCCCCATGTTTTCTAGGATGTTAACTGTTCCTTCTCTCTTGTTCCACATCTCCTTTCCCCCACTAGATAGTAAAATAAGTAGGAATGTTTGGATATGGGTGCTTGCTGTAGAAAGCCGTGTAACATACAATACAGCATTATATATTATAAATAGCACAATCAGTTGTCTAAAAGTAAAAGCCGTTAGCCAAGTATTATTTGTGGGATTGTGGCTTAAATTTTGAAGTTCTGGTATATAATGAAAAGCAAAATGATTTTATGCATTTAATGCAGATCTCAGAGAGTGTAATTGTGTGATCTAATCTAAAATATTTAGACAGTTGCTTGCTTGAAATTGTAAATTATAGAACCGTAGTTTCTATATTTAGTTCTAGTCAGAATTTTATCTGGAGGTTCTTCTGTTCTCCTATGATGTAGAAAACTAGTTTTCTTTTCTACTACTTTTTCCCCCAAGTGTTTTCCTTTATGTTACACAGGCATATAGAGGAACTTTTTATGCAGAAATCTTGATTGCTTTAAAAATTGTAAAATTAACATATTAATATTTTGTCATTTTATTAGTTCCTATTTACTAAATTGAAAAGGGGCTTCATAGAAAATTTTCGAAAAACACACCAAATTCAGAAAATATATTTTTCAAAGTTATAAAATGAATACATGTTCTTTCTAAAATGTCAGACAATGGGGTAATATGGTAAAAAGTGAAAGTACCTCCTTATCCCCATTACAAGAAAAACGAATAGAGTGTGAACTAATCAGTAGTTTCTTCACTCAGCAGTTAGTAGCTTGTGGTTTGCATATGTTCTATTACAGTCTTGATTGGGCCCTTCTAGCAATAAAGGGATCCATGGCAGGATAAAGGGAAAAGGAGCCTTAAAAATATTTTGGAGCCAGGCATGGTGGTTTACGCCTATGATCCTAGCACTTTGGGAGGCCAAGGCAGGAGGATCTCCTGGGACTAGGAGTTCAAAACCAACCTGGGTAACATAGCAAAACCCCATCTATACAAAAACATTTAAAAATTAACCGAGCATCATGGTGCTTGTCTATAGTCCCAGCTACTCAGAAGGCTGAAACAGGAGGATCACTTGAACCCAGGAGTTCCAGGTTCCAGTGAGCTCTGATTGCGCCATTGCTCTCGAGCTGGGAGACAGATTGAGACTTTGTTTCTCAAAATAAATAAATAAATAAATAAATAAATAAATTTCTGAAACATGCTTGCTTTAAGCATTGCAGACTATTTCTTGTTTTCAGAAAAATATTGTTGC